ATCAGTCGATTGTTAGGCAAAACAATCTAAACGAGAGTTGAAGATCTCGTCAATACTTATCTGTCAATATAAAGACACTCGAGAATGGATATCGTATGAGAGAGTTATGATTTTTATACGAACTTTAACAATCTAAACCTATAAAAATATAAATTTAAAAGTAAAGTGAAAATTCGCCGACGGAGTCTAAATGAAAATTGTAGATCTCGTCGATAGATATGTGTGGATATAAAGAACGTCAAAAACAGAGCGCATATGAAGAAGATACGAATTTTTGAAAAATATTAGATTTCCGCACGTGTAGACGATGATCACGATGTGCTTCTGATAGCTGGCGCAACCCTACCCAAAATCCACTATGTGTCACCCTCTAAGAGAAGCCACATCAACACCCGAGCAGAGGCGTGACGCACCTAGACAAAGGGAACGACATGTCCTACCTTTCCAGCACTATATAAACTGCGTTTTTGCAACCATAATCTTCAACATTTTCACCCAGAATCCTCTGGAACTCTCTCATACCCCTAGCCCCTTTACTCCCTAGTTCCCGGCTACTTTAGCGAGACCCTATGGCATCATAGATCCGAAGAATAGAAGTTACCGGGTCAGAGTTCTACCCACATAATTACCAGTTCTCATTGGTAAACTCTATTAGTTGAGCTATACTTATTTTAATTCAAGTGTAACTTATATTTATAATTGTAATCGTTATTATGAACCTATAAATAAGATTTAGCAGTGATTCCAAGTAATTATATATATTGATATACTTCTGTGAGTGATGTCTATACTCGATTTAATGAGGTGTGTAAAGTGGAATTTCCAAACAGTATACTCTGTATACCCAACGGACCCTACCTTCGATACGATCCTACATGGATATTCCTTACTTGATAGATCTTGATGTAGACATTGGAATTGTTGGGGAATCTAGACCATCATTAGTCATGAGAAATATTTGACTAAGAGTTAGTAACAATTATATATAAGTTACGTCAAGGGAAAAACTAAGTGCTAAGGCGAAGTGTTGCCCAAACTCTAAGGCATCCACTTTTAACAAGTGAGTGCATAGTTATTTTCATCTTACACATAGATATGAAATTATTTAGATATTTAAATCCTATATGGGGCCTATTATATCTAGTGTTCTTGATATTTGTGATAGCTGCAATAATATGATATAATTTTATTGGTATATTTATTTTATCGTATTTAAACTATATCGAGTAGGTGTTAATGATCATACTTTTTAGGGAAAAGGGAAAGTGGTTCATTCAGGTACTCTATCCCCCTAAAGGTTTTATATTGATATATATTGCTACGGATCCCCCAAAGTAGTATTGTCTGCTCATGAGGATCCTTTAGGATAGGTCCAAAAAGATCATCATCGTAGGATCAGAGATTAAGAATAACGGGGATAGGTAAATAAAGTTATTTGATTATTGTGAAAAAAATATATAATTACAGTATTGTGGTTTGAAAACCCTATGTGCTCACCAGGCTCCTAAGCATGACTCACTTAGTTTCTTTGTATCAAAGCTAGCAGTACGAATGAACAATCCACTGAGAGATTTAAGAAGTATAGGTCGATAGAATAGATTTAAGAAGTATAGGTCGATAGAATAATGAAGTGTTGTAAGGTTTATAATATTCAGTTTATGCTTATGTTTTGTATATTAGTTATGACATCCTAATAATTAAAATATTAATGGAAAACATTTATTTGGAAATGCTTATGTTTTGTATATTAGTTATGACGTCCTAAGAGCTAGTTAACGCTAGGATGGAGTACCGATGGTCAACAAAATGGATAGTCATTGAGCGAGTTAACTGTGAGTCGGTTCCTTCTCATGTAAGAACGGTCCAAAAAGGAAACAGTGATTCTGAAAGTTATAAAGGACAATAAGAACTTAAGGTTTGTAAAAATGATGAACCCCAAGGAAACTTCAAGTATACGGATTTTACGACATGCAAGTCATCATCATTTAGTGGGAAAGAGGATCTAGTAGGATTCGTGGACTAGATTTCTTAAATGGAGCTAGCCTTCATAACCTATGGTTGCAGGTAGGGATGAGAATTTGGCCCGAAAACCCGAACTGAACCGAACCGAACCAAATTAGACCCGAATAAGCAATTCGATTCGGTTTTCGGGTATCTGTATAAGGCTTATTCGGTTTTCGGGTTATTCGGTCCGGGTTACCCGAATAAGGGCTTATTCGGTCCAAAAGGACCGAACCGAATATGAAAATTCACATTTTTTTCCCTTGCACGATTGCTTATTCGGTATTGTGTTCTATCGATCGTTACCCAAAATACCCACGTAATACACCATAAAAAATCAATGAAATCGATATTCGATCATCCGGTAGCGTATTACACCAACTCGACAGTAGCGTATTACACAAAATCGACGACATTACTCTTTGATCGATTGAGGTTTTTCTCATCCTTGTGAGTTGCATCTGCTTCCCTTGCAAGTTGCAATAACCTGGAATCTTTGATCAATCATCACTAGTTCAAAGTTCAAAGTCCATTAACGATAAGAAAAAAATCTGCCCTTGCGTTTGGAAAAAAAATCGTCTCCTCATCCTCGTTTTCTAGTTTCTATTGTGATCAAACTCCATTCAAGTCATGGAAAATTAGGTTCCAAATCAAGAAACTCAAGTAAGTATTTGTATCTTAATCTACTACTCAATCTTTCAATGTGTTATTTATAAATGTAATTTGGGTTATTTGGGTTATTCGGGTTATTTGGCTCCTTAATCATCTTGTACATGTTATTTGGGTTATTCGGGTCGGAACCGAATAATACCCGAACCGAACCTAACCCGTATTGCTTATTTGGTTCGGTTTTCGGTTCATACAATTACCCTTATTTGGTTTTCGGTTTATTCGGGTTCGGGTCGGTTCGGTTCGGTTCGGTTCCGACCCGAATAACATCCCTAGTTGCAGGGGCAAGTTGCAAAGCACCTACGTTGTGAGGTAATTCAATAGTGCAACAATCCATTAGTGGAATACGTTGGGAAAAGTTTTAAGTCCTAACAAGCGACTAAAACTAATCTGGGAAGAATTATTGATCCATATCAAGCGTAAGTTCTACTTAGTAAAAAATATGTTGGAGTTAGAGAATCAACTCTAAATTTGAAAAAGTGAAGCATGTTTTTTGATGATTATACTAATTCTTTCACTGACAAAATGGAGTTCACCCTGCGTGTTGTACAGGACGATGTAACGCCCGATTCATGGTATGTGTTTTAATTATGATTTTTTTGCGTTTTGATACAGGGAATCGACGAGTTGAGGCCCAAAACGTGTCGAGTAGGGGGCGAATCTTGGATGCTGATGGAAGAGTCTACTCGATGAGTTGGAAGCCCCGACTCGATGAGTAGATATGTCTGAATGAAACCCTAAATCTTAGGGTTTGCACCTATTTAACCAACTTATATGGCCTCCACTCCAGCCTCCATCACCCTCAGACCTTATTCACGAAACCCTAATTAATTTGTGAGTGTTCTTGAGCTATTTTGTGCCATTCTAGTGATTTGAAGCTTGGAGAAGGAAGGAAAGGCTTGGAGGTCCAAGAAGAAGACTGTAGATCCAGATTCTTGGTTGCATTTCCAGCTTGTTTGAGGTAAAAAGCTTAAACCTTGGCTCCTCGTCACTTAGATCTTCTTTAAGGATTGCATATTGTCATTTTTGGGCCATTTCTATGTCACTTTTAGGATTTGAGTGTATATTAGAGTAATGACTTTAGATATGGGATCATTTGAGTTATGGAAGCTTAAAGTTGTCACCTTTATTGAGCTATGGCCCTATCCCATGCATTAGAACTCCTTTATGGCTTAGTTTTGGGGTTTTAGCTTCATAACACCCATGCATGCATGTAAAGTTAGTAAATTTATGTGTTATATGGACCCTGGGAGGTTAAATCTGTGCTTTGGATGCAATAAGCCCGACTGAAATCGACTGTACGGACTCGGACTTTGGGGGACTCGGCGATGTGTTCATAGGACTCGGCAAGTCAGGTCATGGTTCCCCAACCTTTTCTATTTCTGAGCAATCTAGTTAAGTCTAGAAGAGGACTCAACAAGATGGAAGTGGATATGGACTTGAAGATCAAAGAATGCGATGAGTTCAAGGATGAACTCGGCGGGTTCAAGGCAATGTACCGACCGATATGAAGAAGAAGTCAACGAGTTCAAGGAAGAACTCGGCGAGTAAAGGGATAAACGTTCCAACTTATATGAAGAAGGACTCGACGAGTTAGAGGATGAACTTGGTGAGTCATGAGCAAAAGGTCCCAATTTTGTATGAAGGAGAACTCGATGAGTTCTTGAAAGACTCGATGAGTAGGATCAAAGTTCCAACATTTTGTGGATTATGGAACTCAACGAGTTGGTGAACCAACTCAGCGCGTTGAGTCAATCATATGTTGACTTTGACCAAAAGTTGACTTTGACCAAGGTGTTGGCCATGACTTTGACTTTGAACTGAGTTGACCCTTGAATGGGTTATGAGTATGAAATGGTAATCAAGGAAGGTTGTTATGTGTAGGAGTTTGAGAGGAGTTGATCCCATCGTCGAGGACAGTTCAGTTACTACACGACAATGAGGTGGGTTACCTTCCAATAGAAGTGGGTCTAAGGTAGGGATGAGCAGAAGCGGGTACCCGCCTATTTTAGCAAGAACGGAACCGCTCCCGGAACCGGCGGGTCTAACATTACTGGAACTGCTCCCGGAACCGCCTAGGCCGGTTCCTAGAAATTTTGAACCGCTCCCGGAACCGCGTAGATCGATTCCGGTTCTGGGTACCTGGTTTCTTGAATTTATTTATTTATTTTGTACATGCCATTAAAATCAACTTTTATATGCAACATGAGTTCAAGATATAAAACTAAAACAATTAAAAAAAACTTGATCTCAAAACAACAAGTGGAAATTAACAATCAAAGATGAAAAATTGACAAGCTACAAACCACAAATCATTCCAATTGTCAATGATAACATAAGCCAATAACAAATTACAAAACAATTACTCAAAAAATCTCAAAATAGCAAAATAGCAATAACATGATGGTCTCAAAACAACACTAAACAGCAAAACACCAACATCAAAACAACAACATCAAACTGCAAAAACAGCAACAGCAAACAGCAACCTGCAAACAGCAAAAACAATAGCAGCAAACAACAAAAACAGCAACGAACAACAATTACTTATTCCCTCGTAAGAGATCTTCCATATTGCGACTGATTTCTGTAAAGAAATTAAACATAAAAAAGTCAAATTTGAATAATAAATGTAATACAAGAAACATAAAATAAAATAATAAATAATTATGTAACCTACCTTCCTGATATTTTTCCACATCTTCCAATAATTGTTCAAGGTCAACACAAACATTTGATGCCCTCAACCAATCTTGAGTACATATCAAAGCTTCGACCGTCTTTGGAAGCAAATTACTCCAAAAATCATCCACCACACGACCGGATGTACTAAAAGTGGACTCACTAGCAACCGTAGACACCGGAATGGCTAGAATGTCCTTAGCCATTGATGCCAACAACTTGTATGTTGTGCATTTGTCACTCCACCATTTCGAAATTTCAAATGTTTCATTATTCATTTTTTTGGGTGGAGCATCAAGATATTCCTCCAATTCAGATTTTTCCGTAGCATCTTCAACATCATTTTCATAGAACTCATCAGATATTTTTCTCATTTGCTTATTCTTAACGACACCAACAAAATTTTGGACATCATTATCATTCGTATTTGAGGAGCTACAACCATCATTCTTTGTTATTGAAGAAACATTAGAATAATGATTATATAGTTTTTTCAAAACCTCAAACACTTGAGCGTATAATTCTTCAACATTCTTAAAGTCTAAAGGATAGATTTTTTAAAGAAAACTTCACAAACCTCATCTTATACCTTGGATCAAGAGCAACCGCAACTAAAACCATCTCATTTGTTTTTCCAAAGTCTCCATAATACTTGTCAAACTTTTTTCTCATTTGTTCACCCATAAGAACAATATTGATATCATCATCTTGTGTCTATTCCTACAAGGAAGCAAGTACACCTAAGATCTCATGATAATGCATATTAGCCGTAACATATAAAGTTCCCGACATCCTTTTCGTGGCTTCAAAAAACTGCTTCAAACAAAGGGATAAATTTCTTGCATTTTCCCAATCTTTTTGGGATGGAAATCCATCTTTAAGCTCTTTTTCAAATGCGGGGTCTTCTTGTCTCATTCTTTTAAAAGCTCTCTCAAACTTAAGTGCCGTTTCTAAAATAATGTAAGTGGCATTCCACCGTGTTGGTACATCAAGAGATACCAATGCTTTACACAAAATTTTTGATTTTAAAGCATAATTATCAAACAACTTAGATCTTTCCGTAGAGATCCTAACATATCTAACTGCACCCCTAATCCTAACAATGGAATTTTTTTATCAAGTCAAGACCATCTTTAACAATCAAGTTTAAGATATGCGCGACACATCTCATATGGAAAAACTCACCACCTAGGACAAGTTTATATGTTAGATTATCTGTTATATGAGCGACAGCTACATCATTAGCACTTGCGTTATCTATAGTGATGCAAGATAACTTCTCTTCAATACCCCAATAAAGAATACAAGATTCTATTTCTTTCCCGATTTCCTTTCCTTTATGACTATCAATATTCTGAAAATTCAAAATTCTTTTATGCAATTTCCAGTTATCATCAATAAAATGAGCAGTTAAACACATATAGCTTATATTTTGCACAGAAGTCCAACAATCGGTAGTAAGAGCAATCCTACAATTCAAATTTTTCAAGGTATTTCTCAATTGCTCCGTCTCACTAAGAAAAAGTTTACTAACATCTCTAGCAACCGTGAAACGTGACGGGATACAAAACTGTGGAACAACAACACTACAGAAATATCTAAACCCGTCACGTTCAACATATGAAAATGGTTGCTCATCAATGACAATCATTTTTGCTACAACAAGTCTGATTGTATTTTGGTTAAATTCCCTGTTAGAAACAGTGGTGACATCACTTTTACTTGTTCTAAATGTGCTAATTTTCTTTTGTTTTAAATCAATATTCCGAGGATTTTGTAAACATATAGCATTATGTTTACTCAAAGATGATGTACCATTCTTTGTAGTAACTGTCAAGAGTTTGGAACAATGTTTGCATTGTGCCTTTACAACCTTGCCCGTCTTTGGATCTCTAACATTTGTGTAGTTACGCCAAGCATTTGATGTCCTTTTTTCCCGAACTACCGACATTTTATTTTGCTCAACAACCTCACTTGCACCATCCATGTCTATGTCAATTGGACTATTTTCCATAATTAAACCTGAAAGTTATTGATATTCATAGATTTAAGTAGCAGGCTAACAGCTAGAAAAAATGAGAAAACAAGAAAACAGATGTAAACACAATCACAACAAACAGTCTAAACACATAATCTAAACAGTCAAATAGATGTAATCTAAACAGATGCAAACACAATACAAGAAACATATGCAATCTAAAAAAAACTGAACATGTATGAAGAGATGATATTCATAGATTTAAGTAGCAGGCTAACAGCTAAGAAAAAGAGAAAACAAGAAAACAGATGCAAATACAATTACAGCAAACAGTCTAAACTCCAAACACATAATCTAAACAAATGTAAACACAATTACAAGAAATAGATGCAATCTAAAAAAAACTGAACATGTATGAACATATTAAGAATACGAGAAAAGAAATATAAAAGAAAAAAGAGTTTCATAATTGCAATCTAAAAACCGAGAAATAAAATTTCATAATTACAATCTAAAAATCGGAACAGATGCAATCTAAACACATAATCAAAAAAATCAAATTTCATAGTCAATAGATGCAATCTAAGAATTAATATATCAAATTTCATAGTCAATAGAACAACGTACTGCTTGGATAATCGACGGGACTACAAGAGAAATCGAGAATCTGACCTCGAAGATGAATATTTGAGAGTTAAGATTGAATAGCGTGAGTGGAGAGAATTGTTCCACCATCGTCTTCTACTCTTGAACTGGTCCACCGTCGTCTTCTTCGTCTTCTACTCTTGTACTCTTCTTCAGTCCGATCGATTGAATAGCGATGGTGAACGATTGACTATCGACGAGAGGGTAACGACCTACAAGATCGTCGAATGGAATGCACTTCAAAATTCAAATAAAACTTCTAATCTCTAATCCATAAGACTGGTTTATTGGTAATGTGATTGTGAGGGACGATTAGTAAATTCTTTGTGACGTGAACTCGAGAAAAAGAGAATGACGAGAAGAGAGTTCAAGGGAGAAGACTGAAGAGAGTGTCGACGTATTTTGGTAACAAAATTGCAAAACCCTAAAAGTGACTAAGGTAAACCCATGAAAGTTTATTATTATTATTTTTTTAAAAATACCAATATATAAAATATTTTTGATTTTTTTCTAAAAAATAAGGCGGGTACCCGGCGGTACCGGTTCCAATTAACCGCCGGTTCCGGGTACCCGGTATTGGAACCGGAACCGGCGGGTATCGGTTTTGTAAAAATGAAAATTGGAATTGGAACCGATTTAGGCGGTTCTGAAATTTTAGGAACCGGAACCGGAACTGCTTAAGGCAGTTCCGGTTCCAGAACCGACAGTTCCGAGGCGGTTCCGGTTCCGAAAGCAAGTATTCGCTTCCGCTGCTCATCCCTAGTCTAAGGCACCAAGGCCGGCCTACTAGTAAGAGTTATAGTAGAGATAATTGTCTTCATGATAATAATCTGGTATGTGCTAGACAGGGTAGGTCGGCACCCTAGAATTGCCAGACAGGGTAGGTCGGCACCCCAAAATTACCTGACAGGGTAGGCCGGACACCCTAGAATTGTCCGACAGTATGTTTGTTATGTGGTATGTGTTATGATGGGGGAACCGCTGGATTAGTGTCTAAGTCCATAACTATAATTGGTATGTACTTGACCCGACTTGGCATGGTCTATTTGGGTTGCATGGCATCGAAAGATTTGGATAAACCGTTTATGAGAAGAGGACATTTGTGACATATTAATATATTATAAGTTCTAATATATTAATATGAAATCATGTTATTTAATTAGTATTGATCAAGAATTAATTTGGACTTAATTTAGTGATCAAAAGAGGGGATTGATTGTGTAAATCATTCATTCTTATATGTGGGCTTATGATCCATGATTCCTTATGTTGAGTTTAACCCATGTGGTGACCCATGGATACTCCATGGAGGTTAAAACCTATGGAGCATAACGAATAGGTAAATTCATGGGTTACATCATGTAACCCTAATGTTCACACTATATACGGACCCATTTGGATCAAGAAATTGGCACTAGTAATACATATATGAGGGCTAGCCAATTTGAGCATGAAGTGTCTTCTTCTCATGGTTATTCCAAGTGTTGATGATGTTGTTTGAACCATTTGAGGTGTCACACCTGGGGCACTAGGTATGTATTCTATCTATTTTATTACCCAAGTATCAAAGATTGTATGCTAGTTAGGGTAATACCTAGGAATATTCATATTTGCATGTATAATAGAGAAAACATAGATCCAAGGTATTTCGGGTTGCATGTACACCATATGAGTGTTAGAATGCTAAAAAAACCGACAGTGGTATCAGAGCCTAGGCTTGTTTTCTTGTTATACTTGCTTAAATTGCTGAAAAATCAAAGATTTGTGTTGTGTGGTCGGGGGACTCGACTAGTCCATGAAGGGACTCGACGTGTCCAATAACAAACTCATCCAACTCACCAAGTTGGTTCATGCACTCGGCGAGTTAGATCCCCTGACAACATATCTTCGAGTTTTAAAGCTAGAATTGGTCTAGAATCATTAGCTTAAGCTGTTTTGGACTTTTAAAACCTGTTTTTAAAGTGGTAATGATTATAGTAAACCAATTTCAAGGTTAAAATCAAAGTTTCTAGATTTATGTAATTTTTGAAATTGTTGATATGGATTGTTCATGCTTATGAATGTTGCTAGATCGAATTATTTACAAAAGTGTTTGTTAGTTAATTCTTGATCTAAATGTATTTTAATGGAGTCCATAATTTGTCCTCAAGTTTTGGATTACCAAATTTTTTTTGTGTTACCTTGTTTTATGAGTTATTTTAGATTAATGAAAAATATTTGTTAGTTGTTTTCAATCCAAATTAATCTAAAAGTTGTTCATAAAATGTTTTTTTGTAACTTGTCCTCAAGTTATATGAAAAGTCACATTTATGAATTTTAAAACTCATACAAATGCCTTAGGTTACAAAAATGAAGAGTCCTTTTCTTATAAATAGTTTTTATGGCTCCATAACTTGTCATCAAGTTGTGGATGTCTAAGAGTCTCTTCATTAAAAGTTTTTTAAAACTGTAATTGAACTCATAAGTTATGAAAGTCCAAGAGATTTGAATAGTTTCAAAACTTTCCCTCAAGTTTTCGAATTTGTAAAGTTTTCCCCATGAATACTTTAGTTCCAAGTCAAGCCCTTAGAATTTTAAAAGTTAAAATTCAAACCTTATACTTCATAATATTATAAATTAATAATATATATATATATATATATATATATATATATATATATATATATATATATAAGAGCAAGTTGTCTTAACATTAGTAGGCATCATTCATAAAGCTGGTCTATAAGGGGGGTATAAGGTTATTGCCTATAAAATGGCAGTTTAATGGGTGTCCACTCTCACCCACCGCTTCCTTGACTGGTGGAGGGTCGTTAGCCGAACGGGTAGGACAAGGACTATAATTCTCCCTTCATTAAAAAAGTATTAATGATAAATACTATGTAACTAAACTCTTATTAATACCCAATCTTAGTTACTTAGGAAAATGTGAATTTGGTGCTAACCCATGAAATTACACTTTGCAATTTATTAAGTCGGTTAGTGGAGCGTGTATGGTTAACCGACATACTAACTTGATTTAACAAGGTAGGCAAAGGGTAACTTAATGTTTATCATAGTATCGGTGGAGCGCGTGTGGTTAACCGACACATCGATTGAGGGGTAAATATTAAGGGTACCAAGTATATTTGCATGATTATTCACACCTTGTTTTGTGATCCTCGGCATCCCAGTCACAAAACTTGAGAGGGCACAATCGAGATTTAAACATGCCATTGAATAGTTCAATGAATCTCAAAAGATCTAGGAGTTTCAAATCCAATTAAAACCTAATAAATTATTTTGTTTTTCATAGTGGAAATTGATGAATCGTCATTCGCCTACCTTCAAATATTCTATAGATTGGATTACGACATCCTTCTTCCAAGTTATAAAATATTGTGTTGGGTCCTAGCCTTAATATTTCATATTGGGTGTTATATTAAGAACTTTAGATAAGCTATCTTGAATATCTCCCAAAAGATGTGTAGTTCAGTCATCTTTGATCTTCCCAAACCTCTTGGAACTTCACTTCCTCCACCTCTTCCAATTATTCTCCCTAACCCACAAGTTCAAGGTCACTAAAGCCCTATTGGCAAGCAAGGTCTATGTGTGATCGCATCTTGGAGATGAAGTCACATATTGACAAGCCAGGAGAGTTGGGTGTCAAAGTCTTAAGAAAGTTGGATGTCCAATCACTTTCTAAGTCACATAGTGAGTTTATTTGGGACTACTATGGAACAAACTATGACATGGCCGTTAATGATCTTATCTGTTTTCTTGGTGCTTCTAAATCCGCAATGATTTGGAGGACTGGTAAAGGAAATTTGATTAGAAAAGCAACTTCCCAAAACTTCCATGGACATTGACAATGGTAACATTGGAAATCCAGAAAAACTTTCTCTTCCCAATGGAAAGGGATCGGCCATAGTCAACTCGGTTGACCAAGTGGTAAAGAGAAAGGCTAAGTCTGAGATTGTCCCATGTACCATTCTCAAAGGGTCCATATGGTTCTATTGCCAAAAGGAAAGGGCAATGGTTGCGAAGCTGCCAAATTTACCTGAAAGATCATAAGGCTGGTAAAGTCAATAAGTTTGACTCTACTTCAGGTAAAGTTCATTATCTAACTCGATTAAGTTTCAATTTTGAGATTCTTATTACGTGATGTGACTGGGTCACATGTTGATGTTTTAAGAATCAAAGGAAAAGTAAAGGAAACTTAAAGAAAGAGTATGCTGAATCTGACCGCGAAGATGGATTTCTATCGCTTGATTGAAGATCGGATTCTTGAGCTACTCTTAGGAGTTATGATAGATTGCTAGGAAACATGTAATATCATAGTTTTCATTTAAAGTTTCATTGTAAGGAAAAGTTTTTTCCGCATTTTATAAATAAATAAAAGTTTGTTTTACTTT